GGGGGGGCTCCAGCCCCTTGGCTCCCCCGGGGTCGGGCCGCACAGAATCCGCCCTCGGCAGAGGGGAGAGCGGCGACCCGGTAGCGCCGCTCCTAATTGAATTAATTGCCCCGGAACATCTAATTTCCTCACTGGTCAGGGAGAGGTTTAATTGTTATAAAAACCTGGCTCCCCGACTAGAATCGGGGTTAGCAATTTCACGGGTTATATACTTTAGAGAACCTCATTAAGTGCTTTTTGAAATGAATTTCCAGTTCCAGGCTAACCCCGACTACCAGATGAGCGGAGATGACACTCAGCACATCCAGCAGTTCTATGATCTCCTGACGGGCTCCATGGAGATCATCCGAGGATGGGCAGAGAAGATCCCCGGCTTCACTGACCTGCCCAAAACGGACCAGGACTTGCTCTTCGAATCCGCCTTCCTGGAGCTGTTCGTGCTGAGGCTGGCGTACAGGTGAGCTCCCAGGGCAGCTCCTGGGAAGGCAGGGCCTTTCAAGGTCCACTGATCTGCCTTTTATTAACTCCTTGGTAATTAGGTGCCTCTTAAATCCTTCATTTATTGCACTTCGAGTAATTAGTTGTTTAGCGTTTCTCCCCTTCATCTTATCTCCCCCCCCCCTTTCCCTTTTTCTTTTTTCTCTTTCTCTCTTAATTTTATTTTTATTTCTTGGCATCTTTCTCTCTTTATTTCTTTCTCTTTTTCTCCTTTCTTTCCTCTTTATCTTTTCTCATTCTGTCTTTGTCTTTCTGTGTCTTTTTCTCTCTCCTTTCTCTCTCTTTCTCTCCTCTTTCTCTCCTTCTCTTTCTCTCCTTCTCTTTCTCTCTCTCTTTTTCTCCTTCTCTTTCTTCTCTATTATTTTTTCCTCTTCCCATCTCATTTTTTTTCCTTTCTGACTCATCCATTCATCTGCCCCTCTTGGGCTTGTCCTATTCCTTCCAGGTCAAACCCAGTGGAGGGCAAGCTTATCTTCTGCAACGGGGTGGTCCTGCACCGGCTGCAGTGCGTCCGCGGCTTCGGGGAGTGGATCGATTCCATTGTTGAATTTTCCTCCAACTTGCAAAACATGAACATCGATATCTCTGCCTTCTCCTGCATTGCTGCCCTGGCCATGGTGACAGGTCAGTGTGTCCCCCTTCCCGGGCACCCCCTGTCCCTCCTTCCCCTCCGTGTCAGGCCCGTCATGTCCCGCACCCTTCTCTTTTTGCAGAGAGGCACGGGCTTAAAGAACCCAAGAGGGTGGAAGAGCTTCAGAACAAGATTGTAAATTGTCTGAAAGACCATGTGACTTTTAATAACGGGGGGCTGAATCGCCCCAACTATTTGTCCAAACTCTTGGGGAAGCTCCCCGAACTCCGCACGCTTTGCACGCAGGGGCTGCAACGCATTTTCTACCTGAAACTGGAAGATTTGGTGCCACCGCCAGCAATAATCGACAAACTTTTCCTGGACACTTTACCTTTTTAAGACTCTTTTTTTTGCCCCCTGCACTTCCACTGACCCGAAGAGAAACTCGGCCTGTCTGAAGGGGAATTCACCTGGGCCCAGAGCAGCTCCTGGGGCGCAGCTTCCCTCCCAAACCGTGTTGCAAACCTCCTGCGGGCAGAACGCCGACGGGCATTGTGGCTCTGGGGCCTCATGGATGCAGATCATGGACTACACAAATAACTCATGGTATAAACTTTTTATTATCAGCTTATAAACGAGTTTACTATTGAGGACTTCTGGTTAAAAAAAACAAAAAGGTGACACCTATTCCTGGCAACGCCGGGCGCGCAGCCGAGGCTCACGCGGTGACCAACAGAGCATTTAAGGTGACCCACAAGTCTCACCCTCCTAAAGACTTAAAGTTTTCTGCTGTAAAAGAAAGCTGTAATATATATACCCGACCTAAATGTTGCGTGGGTGGCATGTCATGGAAGAAGGCAAAGGCTTGTAAATTTATCAGATGCAGTTTGGCTTTTGAAAGAGAAAATTATTCTGTGCCTATTTATGAAGAAAGATGGAAAACAGTTCTAAAAATAATAATAGTAATAATAATAAATAAATTAAAAATAAAACCTAAACGTGTTTGCAAGGAAAAAAAAAAATTAAAAAGGGAAAAAAAATAAAAGAGAATAAAGAGAAAGAAAATTAAATCTCTCCCTACCAAGAAAGCATGATGATGATTCTAGGGTGACAATGTTATAGGCACTTGCTATTTCAGTAATGTCTATATTCTATAAATAGTATTCCAGACACTATGTAGTCTGTTAGCTTTTATAAAGACTGGTAGTTACCTGAGCTTCGAACATTTTCTCAATTGTAAAATAGGTGGGCACAAGTATTCCAAAACCTGAAATCCTCCCCAAAGGGACACATAGTGTTTGTAAACACCGTCCGACATTCCTTGTTTGTAAGTGTTGTATGTACTGTTGATGTTGATTAAAAAAAGAAGTTTATATCTTGATTATTTTGTTGTCTAAAGCTAAACAAATCTTGCATGCAGCAGCTTCTGACTGTTTCCAGAGTGCTTATAATATACATAACTCCCTGGAAATTACTGAGCACTTTGAATTTATTTTTTTTGTTTGTTCTGTTCCGTTTTTTTCAATGTCTAAAATTGTCGGTTAATATATGATTTTATGTTCGAGTAATATTTTTAATATTACCACATTCTGTAGTATTTTTCTTTGTGTATTCCCAGGATGGCACAGGAGACAAAGTCACTGCCTTTTTTTTTCCTATGGTGTACGACAGTTAGAAACGCTGACCAGTTCCTTTTTTTAATTATTATGATGATGATTATTTTTTCCCCCCTCCTGAGAACTCTTTCTTTGAGAAAGACGATTTTAATGTTTACAACAATAAAACGTGTAAACGAACGGAATTTCGTCTTGTTTCTGCCCAAGCGAGGAGCCTGCCCGGGAGGATGGAGGGGCAGGTTCCTGGCAGGAGCGTGTGCGCCGGGACTCGCTGGCTCTGCGGGAGGAAGAGGAGGGAAATCCGAGCCTGGAAGGTTGGTCCTTGCCCAGATTTTTCCCCGTGGCAGGTCCTTGCAGCATCCCGTGGCAGCTCTCTGCAGCATCCCGTCACATCCATCCATCCATCCATCCATCCATCCATCCATCCATCCATCCATCCATCCATCCATCCATCCCTCCCTCCCTCCCTCTTCCCGCGCAAGGGTTTGCTCCGGCAAACATCTTCTCATGTTTGTCGTTGGTTTTAATTTTGTTAGGGGATCTGAGTTCTAAACCTTCTCCCGCGGCCCCGGAGGGCGGTTTTGGGGGCGCGCGGCAGCCGAGCTGCCCCGCACCGGAGCGGGGCCGGGGGGGGGCACCCGCACCCCGGCTGCCTTGCTGCTTCCCTACGG